TAGCAGGGAATGATCTCGCAGCTATCTACATGTGAGGTGGCCACAGAAAAAAGCATCTGATTTTCAAACAGAGCCTTGATCAAACTTTCCTCGTCCAGGCAAAAAATACCATTGCACAACCCCCTTAGCAAAATGGCAAATGACAACGTGTTCTGCACGCACAAAACAGTATCGGCCCAGTCTAGCTCCAGAGAAATCTGGCACAAACTCTTTGTTTTCAATATGAGCAGAGAATGTGCCATGCCAATGTCTGACAATACATTTTGGACATACGTACAATGCACCAGCTGAGCAGCTCCCAGGAATGATCTGATTTTCCTTCTTTCTTTTAACTAAGAGAACGGAATCACTCCAGATTTACAATGAAGCAAACTGAAAGCACAGTCGGAACCACTGTTTTAAGAAGACCTTACTATGCTATAACTTTTCACGGTTCAGTTGCTAAATTACACATTATAAAAATAAGTAAGTGCAATTGAGAGACTGTGTTAATCTCAGAAGTTTAAACATCACCCTGTAATGACTGCTTTATATTGGCCCATAGTAAAGTACTTTATGGGCCATGCAAGAGATTTATCCGCATGCGTACGTTAAATACTCCTGGGAATTTTCTCACATAGAGAGATGAGGCCCAGCTGACACAAAACTAAATACGTACAAAACATTGCCGTCATTCACACTGGAACAGGAATGCCACCCAGTAAGAAAAAACTTTACAACACCTAAAAGAGATAAGACCCGATAGCCAGCATAGCAATAAGATGTTGCTTTTGGAAGTGCAAAATTTCCTAACCTGACAATCAGTGCAGATTCTGGAAACGTAACAAAACCCAACTGTCTCCTTGCAAGGAAATGAGAGCTTAGGCCTTGACTATAAATAAATTATGAAGAAGCATGGGTGGTTTGCAGAGTCGTTTACTAAAGCCAAGAGTATTTAGAGCCAAATTAGTTTCTCGCACATAAAAATTCCCTGGAATTCGGGGTGAGTTTATACGTGATTTCTCGCCCAGGCAGTCTGGGGCTGACAGTCTGCACCCAACTGCCTTTCGCAGTTCTCTCTAGTAACACAGAAGGTCCATCCTGGCTGACTAAGAGGTGGCACGTGAGAAGACTTTTAAATAAAGTAAATGTGATGGTAAAGAAGTTGCAGATATGGTACCAGTGTCTTTTTTTTTTTTTTTTTTTTAAATAATCATGCTCCCCAATAGCACTACAGCTAAGCATGAGTCAGTCAGGTGTTCCCAGGGGACAAAATATGATGCCATATAAAAAAAATGTAAGTATACCCAGCAAGGCACTACATGAAGAACGTTGTATGAAAGCACCACCTCCCTCAGCTGTAAAACACTCACAAGCAGTAAACTGAAGAGAATTCTTAATCCTTCAGTGTTATCATTATTAGAGTATCATTCACCCACTTGTCGGCAAGCTGCCTTCTTCTCCCACCAACTGCTTCGTCTTACAACAATGCCTCATTTCTGGCTCAGAAGACCAACAATAGGCTCTCCCCTGAGCTTACGGCAGCAGCTCCATGACCACTTGGCAGGAGGCAGCATAACAGTAATTTGACAAGCGTCTTCCCAAGGAGACTCAACACATCAGTCACGCTGCTGACACTCCACACCCGGAGGAGCTCATCCAGACTATGGAATATTTCTAGGTACAGGCAGCTGCTCTTGATTGACCATCCAAAAGAGAGCAAGTTTTTCCGTTTCACTAACAGCAGAACAGGAAAGTACCTATTTCCTGCGATGGTCCTTGCAACATTGCCATGCTGGTTTGAGTCAAGTCTGCTCGAGTAAAGCAAAGCAGCAAGTAATCAGCAGAAAGGACTGAAGTCCTATTTCTAGTCCAAGAACAAATCTACTGACTGGCATCTAAAAGGAAACAGCACTGCAAAAACAATTGTAAGTTACCTTCTTATGATGTGCAAAGAGTCTCTCTTTCCAACAAAATTTCAGATTTTTTAAAAAGGAAATTGAAAAATCACAGTATTTTCACCACAGTATTTTCAGAGAATGCATTATTGTTGGTTAGTGCCAAAAAGGACCAACATTTGCTGTCCAGAATAATATGAATTATCTTGATCTGACTGCTCCAACTTAATGAATTAAAATTAACTAAGACCCTTGTGTCTTTAAATAGAATCTGTCGTTCTAATATGGCATCAAAAAAAGTAGAGTTTTAGTCACTCCTTTCCTTCCTATAGTGCCATGAGAGAAACATCCATCAGTTTATCATCAATACACCAATTTTGCTCAGACAGCTGTTGTTTAAAGAACAGTCAAGATTAATAACGTGAATGAAGGAAGACAGACAAATCCTCTCTTCTTTTTCCATGTGAGAAAGACAAGGGTTTGCAAATCTCCATATGTAACACTTTTTTTTTTTTTTTTTGCTTAAAGTTACTAAATGAAAGCCCTAAGCTCTGAACAGCAACTCATTTCTGAAGCTCGGCATGCTGGAATGTTCTGACTTATGTTCTGACTTCTGCCATCTTTAAAATATGTTCAAGGTTCCTGGCAGTTTAACTGCTCTTAAAGATAATAAATCCCTTATGAGACAGGAAGGCTGAACAATCATATACTTCAGACTAGCTCAATCTGTATAGTTCCAAGAATAACTTCCAGTGCAGGTGATAGCAAGCATATGATAAGCAAAGTTCCAGGGGAAAGTTTGTTGAAAAAACAGAATTATGGGAAACAGACTGAACTGCTAGTTTTATGGACATAGCTCTATTCCAGCACTCGGGCAGTAAAACTAAAATGAACTCCCTCAAAGTTAAAAATACCCAATAAAACTCAATAGGCAAGGTAATTATTTTGACTCGACAGAGGGAGAAGACAGGTCACTTGTCCCTACAGAGAGCAGTTTACCCTGCTGACACCAAATAGTAAGACATCTTTCAGTTCATCTGTTTTTTCCAAAGTTACGTTTTCAGTGATATGGATTTATGACACTGGCCAAGCCTACACCACTGCGGGCCAAAGGAAAACATGAAGACCAAAAGAAACGTAAGCCGAACAGCTTCTCCTGTGGTGTCACAGCTCCCCCAGGGGACCAGGCTGGTTGTCCACTTTACATTCCCAAACAACCTTCTGCCCACATCCTCCTTATTAATGCTGGTTCCTCAAGAACTCAGCAGTGAGATTTGCTGGATCAATACTTGTCCCAGGTGTACAGATACAGTGAGTTAGGATGGCACCCAAGGGACAAAGGTATCTTCTCTCTTTCTACCTTTCCCTCAGAAAAATTGAAGTGAACACCATTCAGCAATTGAAGGCGTTAGCTCTAATATTGGAGAATAAATTCATGATAGACATACACTTGAATGACTGAAAATTTATATTGTATGGGTTATAAAGGTAACATTGGCAACATCAGTTGCTTTTGCCCCTTCTTCTGGCAAGGACCCACATAGTCTAGATGGAAGTTATGATCTTCTATAGATACAATAAAACTAACACAGGTCTGTCACAAAAGCAAAACTGAAAACTCCAGTGGTAACATAAAGGAGATATTTATTGTCAAGCAGTGTCACATCAAAATAAGTAAGCAAATGTCATAGTAACTAAGAAAATACAGGAAAATGTCTTGTGAATTCACCGGATTTTAGTTTCCGGCCTCTTCAAAAAAGAAATTTTTGGTTTGGCTGACAGGAAGCCACAAAGCGCAACTGTCCTGTAATCAGAGCAATCAGACATGTATGGGGACAATAATTATAGCAACATAAATTAGTTGTAAACAGATCTGTTTACTGTGTTTCTAACCACCTCATATTTTTTTCCTCCATATTTGAGGCTTGCTTTTTTTTTTTTCTTCTCCTAAAAGTCCAAAGATTTTTAGGTCTTAGTACTGTAGGGGCCAGTTTTCTAAATGTTTAATCTCTGGGCTGGCAATAGCGGTTTATTCCACTGAGAAGATAAACAATTAGCTTAAACAAAGTTTAATGTTACAGACAAATGACTTATGTTTCTGGTAATTACTCAAGTTGGGGAAGCAAGTTTTTTCACGAAACAAATTATGAAATTGCTTGTTTGTTTAGTATTAGTCAAGCATGCTAATACTTAAGAGTTGTGTAAATCACATTGTTTTCTCCATCCTAGCCAGTCAAACCACAAGATACAAAGCCTGAAGTTAATAGTGCAAGTATGGCTCTTCAGAAAATTAAAAAGCCTGCCAGAAAACAGTCCAGTTACTTTAGAAAATGTATTAGTGCAGGATTAACGCATTGCCTGTTGAATAGCATGGCCCCTAACCCATTCTCTTGAAATTTTGAAATAGAACACATTAAAGTCCAAGAGTAAACAACAATAGGAGGAAAACAACAGAAATCAGCATACCTTTTAAGCACAGGAGAACACAGAAAACACCCTTAAGGTGAGCTGTTCCAATTAAGCACCTTTCTTTCAAAGAAATGTTGGAAGACAGCATTCGTCCTTGACTAAAATATGCCTTCTTGTGATTTGAAATGGAAATCAATGATTTATTTGTAATCACTGTGCCTTTTGCCACTGAGATGGGAAAGGTACATTCAATGTAACTCCAAATAAATCCTTCAAATTACATTCTGACAAAATATATCAGGCTCAAGTGAATCATCTTCAAGAGTGACCTTAGCTGGGTGATGTAATCAGTAATTAAAATTCTTAAGTTGCTAATGTGCCTCCCATAACTGTTTTCTAAGTTACGTCCAAGTACCTCCCTTCCTATTGGAATTTGTGTCTGCTAAAAAAATGCTGAAACATAACTCAGCACAGGACAGCTGTATGTCATTTGGGAATCTGCACTGGTGTATATAATTTTGTTCTCCCTCAAGAGCCAAACCAAGATAAATGGGGAAAATAGCAGTTAAGTCACACCTGATGATCATTTTGTCTTTTTCTAATCACTGTAAATTTATCATGTAATTCTACATTCACGATGTCAATAGAAAAGCTGCTAGAACTATTAAATCCTGGTTAAGTGTAAGGTTATGCATCCCATGAAGACACAGGTAGTTGTGACAATAACATTTACTTCAGATACTATTGAGTACATAGCCAAGGGATACACTGAAAGCGGTAACATATATCTGTAACTTGGAATGCTTGAGATGGTTTCCACTGAGCTCTCACCCCTGGTGCTCTTCCTCAGTGACGTGATGTTGTAGCCTAGGTTTATTGGGATTGTGTTCAATCAACCAGTCAGCAAGCCAAGTCTGCAGAACAGAAAAAACCCACAAACATCATCTTCAGTTTTCTGTTGTTCTCTATTGAGAGTATGGAAGAACATTAAAAGCATCATTTGAAACCTCTAATACAGACACCCTCCTACTGTGCTGTGAAATTAAGACCTTTCAGAAAAAAAATACAAATAACGCTTTTTTTCAAAATGTTATTTTACATCCTCCCAGATTATATTGCTTTTGAACAATTCACACTGACCTTTAGAAGACAACTTTTCTGGACAATGTCTATCATTGCATATGTATAAGAATATTTGAGCCATACTTCAAATAATCCAGACAACTCTTTTGGAATGAGGCTGTACAATATGTATGGAACTACTAAATGAAATATTACTCCTGACAACACTTACAGATACTTGTAATCATACAAGATATCATACAGGTATCTAGTAATCATTCATTAAAAGTGCCAGTCTTCTGCACTGAAATCACCTTATAGTACCTAAAACTTAAAAGTAAAACATGGTTACTTTTTGAAACTAATCTTGTAAGTTTTCCAGCAAATTGTACTTAAATAAGAATGCGCGGGGTAGGAATGCCATGAGTCCTAACTTCATCTGCCAATGTTTTGTCCTGGCCTTAGGCAAATGAATCCTTTCCCTCGATTTCTCCAATTGTAAAGAGAAGTTTTTAACATCCTTATTTGCTTCACAAGGCTGTTGACGATTTTCTGGAATGCAGAGTACAGCAAGCTTCATACCATACTGTGAAGTGAAACAACTGATAGAATAGTAGACCAGTAAGGTAAGCAATACTCTCCTTTTACTACCAGGTACAAAAAGATTGGTTCGCAAAGAAAGAAACAACTAGCAAGTGTTAGGACAGTTCTCACAGGTAATCAGCAATAGCAGGAGAACAGTAAGAACTCAAGACAGAAATGGAAGACAAACAAACAAAAAATAATAATCCCAAAATACAAAAGCCCTTAGAAAGACTATTTGTGTAATTAGAAATGTTTAAATCATTTGAGCCTGATTAAATTTATCCTGTGTTACTTAGGGAATTGACTGAGACAACCTCTGTGCTGCTAGCAAGTATTTCTGAGTGGACAAATAGTTTCTGATGCCATCTTCAGAAAGGAAAAAAAAAAAAAAAAAAGAGGAGCCAAATCACCGCAACTTCAATTTTTCAGTTCCTGGAAGGCTACTAGAAAAAAAAAAAAAAAAAAAACAAAAACATTCCATCGATCTCCCTGTAAGTCACCTATCAGATAACAAACTGAAAAGCAGTACCCAACATATACTTCTGAAAAAACAGTTGGAGGAAACCAATATTATTTTCCTTCTGTTACAAGGTCACAGACATTATGGACAGGGAAGAAGGAGCAAATAGCACGTTTACATTTTAGTAAAGCTATTGACACCATTTCATATAGCTTTATAACTTTCTTCCAAGCAAGAAAGGAAGGAAAGCATGGTCTCGAAGTTACTATTAGTTACCACATAACTGGTTAGAAAATTGTGCTCGGAATGCAGAGGTTAATTGGAAGCAAAGCCAAACAATGAATTAGAGAAATGCAACTTAAAAGGGCAAAGGAAAAAAATCAGTTTTTGATACAGTGAAGAAATGACTAAAGGGAAAAGAGATGGTAATGCTATTCAAATATGCAATAGCTTGCTGCAAAAAATATTGAGATATTACATTGTCTCCACTGTCCTCTGGGGATAGTAAAAGGGGGTGGGGGGGTAATGGGCTAAAAATTGGAGCACAGGAGATTTAGGCTAACTTTTAGTGAAAGCTTTTCAACTAAGTAAAGTAAGCACTGAAACAGATTGCCCAGGGAGACTGTAGATTCTACATCATTTGGAGTGCTAAAGACGAGGCCAGACAAACATTTGTTAGGAATGGTTAGATACAATTGGCCTGGCCTTTGGGCAAGGGGGTGGATGAAAAGACTTCTTCCTAACTGTTTTCTCAATTTCTATGGTAACAGTGCCAAACATACAGATAAAGTGGACGGGTTATAAAGCTGGAACAATCACAGTACATTTAATCTGACCCCATGTATACCACATAGATCATAGAAACACCCCTGCATTATTTTTCAGGCTTTTTTTCTGAAATGTATCTTTTAGAAAAATGCAATGTTGATTAAAACCTGATAATGATGTAGAATCCCCCACAAGTGCCAGTAAATTGTCATGCTGATTAATTATCTGCATTCTTAAAGAAGTACTAGTGTGAACGACTTGAACTTTAAGAATACAAAAAACATTTACCACATTTTTCCAGATGAAAGAAAGCTAATTTTGTTTAGGGGCTGAAAAAAACCAAAACACCAGCACTGCCAAAAAATCCCAACACGCAGTTAACTCTAGTCTTTCCACTAAGAACTGTAATTTGAACGACATCCAGGGTTAAAAGGAATAATATGTGACAGGAGGGCAAGATACATCAGCTTGATAACTAGAAAGGGGTCACAAGAAGACAGAAGAATTTTCCGTAGGTCAGTTTGACTATTCAAGATAAGTTTCACCCAAAAGAGTAACAATTCATTTTCCTGGTGAACTGTGGAGCAACAGAAGTAAGTGCTAATCAATGCTGTATAGTCAAAATAATAGTTTTTCCTAAAGAAGAATTGATAATATTAATTTAAACAAACATAACAATGACAAAATATAGACAGCCTTCCTAAGAACTCTACAGTATTTTACCCAACTATGTAACTACCACCGGTGTGATTAGTATCTGATCTCACTTAGTATCTGTTGTGTGAGAGCTATTCGGTCTCAAACTCACCTCAGAAACAGCAAATAAAGTAAAAACTTGTATTTGACATCATGTGATAGTACCCATTTACCTTTCCAGTGTGTAATAACTATGTGTTAGAAAGAGCATTATAGAAGTCACCTAAAAAAACTGGTCATTTCATCAAGGCTGATTTCATTTAGTCTTGGCCCTCATTTTATCTGTTAACAAACCAATCAACTTCTTGAAAGGCAAATGTTATTTGATTAACTCATTAGCAGGTAGCTAAAACAGCACAGTGCAGCGCTCTAACAAGAGTAGCTTTCCTGTATTCAGGGACTTTCCTAATACAAACTATACGTGTCACAGAACATACAACGCAATACAGATGTGCTGTACATACCATTGGATCTGCCGGCTTCTCTTTGCACAGCGCAGTGAGCCCAGCTAGTAACGTAGGCTTTACATAAAGGTTCAAGTAATCCCTAGCTCTTTGTCCAGCTGGAATTGGCTCCAAGATCACTGCAAAGAGTAACCACAGGTGTTGGAAAGCAGCTTGTAGTGTGATTAAAAAAGACATTCTTTCAAAGGTTGTTTATATATGAGGTGCTGTTTTCCTTAATAACACATGTTTTTTCTAGCTCCTCCCACAACATATTGCAAAGAAACTACCTGAACCCCTTTACAATGTCCCTGAGGTCATCTTACTAATTATAGACAGTTATGAAAGGGAGAAAATCAGATCATCTGGGGAAAACCTGTGTCCCTGAAGATGCATTGGGGGCAGGAGAGAAACAATATATCCCATGTTTAGTACTTCTTTCTTGCAGTGTGAAGTTGGTTTCTGAAGACCCTCATCTTAAGTCCAGCTTTATCATTAGGGTGAGGAGCAGGGACATGGTTCACAGTGGGTAAAGTTTGTAGGGAAGTGTAACAGCTTTTATTAAACTACCTGATACAGTTGACAGAAACACACAAGGTTTTTTTTCTAGCTGTTTCCCTTACACCTTTCTGTCAAAGAGCAAAGTCATCTTTCAACTGTTACATTACAAACAAGAGATGCTCTCCCAGCCTTTCCAGGTTCTGTGGCACTTAACTTTGAAATTGCACTATCATGTGAGCATCCAGCTGCTGCTGAACAGGAATTACTCAGCCTGAGCCCAAGAAAAGACTCAGTCTTCTCAAGCCAACAGGAGTTCCCGAGGCTGACAGTGCCAGAAAGACATGCTGGAGTGTAATAGTTTCCCATTTCCTCTCATTTACCAGCTTTGCCTGCTCCAATTCCCAGACACAGAGTTTGAAAAGTAGAAGCAATCCCTGTAACTATAATGGCTTTTCAGATATATTTTGGTACACCTTTCATAGCAGAAAATATCAGCTTATGCATAAAGAGACTCACATTCTCATAAAGCAAACAAACCCTCTTCCAAATACAATTGTATCTAGAGTCTGGACAGAGACAAGTAATAACAGGGAAGCACACTATCCTCCTGAAGATTAGCAATGTATTATCTGCACCATTTTACCTTCTGGAAACATGAATCGAATTTCTCTTTCTGCTGTGGAAATGTTGAGACTGCCGTGTAGTGCATTCCTCAGATCATCAGTCCCATAGATTGCTCTTAAGCTAAAAACAAGAGAAGAAACTGCTTGGTAGGCAACGGCAAACCCCTTCCAAGTCTCTACAGTCTGAGAGCATATAAAAGCAATATATATGGACTAATTAACAAAGCATTGGCTTGATTTTGTTTTAAAAATAAATATGTAGCTACCTAAAATTTATGTTCATGCACTCAGCATTCTCCATAAAATGGGTGAACTTTACATACTAAAAAACACACATGAGAAATTCTGGTTTCAGTTAAAAGAAAGACAAAATCCTACCGAGTTCACCAAGACCAATCAGTGAGTTACCTGTGAGGGTGAGTTCTCTTAGCTCTTATGCTGTTTGATGGTCCAAGCAATTCCTTCCAGTATGAGACTGCACAATGTCTGGCAAGAACCATAGCAACTAAAGGTCCAGAACTCATATAGGCTGTTAAATTGGGAAAAAACACTTTTCCATATTGGTCTGCATAAAAGTTGCTACATTGCTCTGGGCTTAACTGGAGCTTCCGTTTCTATAGTGTGTAAAAGGGGAAAAAAAAAAAAAAAAAAAAAAAAAGAATGAAAAGGAGCTTGCCAAATTAACATAGCTTGCTACCTCAGGTAGGATACAGACCTCTGGTGCAGCCAAATCTTCAAGTGCAGAACAGAAACAGAGTAACTTCCAAGCCTAATCTGATTCTTCCAGATCTGATCCTTTCTGAGATACAGAGTAACAAAGAGCAAGAGTTTTCCCAGTTAATTAAGCGACCAAACAGGCCATTTGAATAAGATGTGACTTTAGCCTTGGCAAACTGCAGCATTTTATAACTGCTGGATGATTTAAAGTACAGTCAGGGCACTGTACAGAAAAAAGTGAAGAGCATTACAAGGGCAGGATTTAATTACTCAGCTGCTCCAGCATAGTGTTCTACTTTTAAACAATTTTCTCTTCAGCCCACACCGTTAATTATGCAATTGTTCTATTTTTCATTCAGTAGTCATGCTTTATGATTCTCACAATAGCTGCCTAGTCCGCAGGTGGCCAGGATTAGGACACGTTTGGGAGGTTATCAGAAGGCACAGGGCAGTCAAGAAAAGAGAAGTAAAGAATTTTTTTTAAAAATGCATTCTTTGAGCCCGAACTTACACGACACAAGAGCACCACAAATCCAGATTCCTAATTATTTTGGTACCAAAAGTCGCTGGAGACATCAGAAGATGTTCAGTTTTGGGCCCCTCACTACACGAGGGACCATTCAGGTTCTGGAGCGTGTTCAGAGAAGGGCAACGGAGCTGGAGCACAAGGCTTATGAGGAGCGGCTGAAGGCACTGGGGCGCTTCAGCCTGGAGAAAAGGAAGCTCAGCGGAGACCTTATCACTCTCTAAAGCTCCCTGAAAGGAGGGTGTAGTGAGGGGGGGTCGGTCTCTTCTCCTAAATGACAAGTGATAGGACAAGAGAGCATGGCCTCAAGTTGTGCCAGGAGAGGTTTAGATTGGATATTAGGAAAAATTTCTTCACCAAAGGGGTTATCAAACATTGGAACAGGCTGCCCAGGGAAGTGGTGGAATCACCATCCCTGGAGATACTTAACAGACATGCAGATGTGGTGCTGAGGGACGTGGTTTTGTGGTAACTTGGCAGCGTTGGGTTAATGGTTGGACTCGATTCTAAAGGTCTCTTCCAACCAAAACGATTCTATGGTTCTATAAGGCACTACACAAGTCCTGTTATTAAAACCACAACAAAACAAAACAAAAAAACAAACAAACAAAACAAACCCAAACATCTCTCTCATTTTCTGATACATTTTGCATAAATAAAACAACCAGAAAGGTAACGGAGGAAAATGAGAAAGAGCAAACGTGAAAAGGGGGCATTTAAAAGAATAAGAAAAATTATTACATTTCGGGGAAAAAAAAAAAAAAAACACACAAAAAAACACCAAACCCCCCCCCCCAAAAAAAAAAAAAAC